ACGCCAATAATTTTTTTACAACACCCATATATATAATGCTAATAAATAGATTATTATTCACTTAATTGGTGAAACTCGTCTAAAAACACTAAGTGAAATAATATTAATGGGTAATCATCAACATAACACTAAATTAGAATCCGCATAATATGCTAATATAAATATATAGGTAATGGTTATTGTATCTGTATAAATTTTAAAATTGATAACTCTTGTAATTATGTGTTGTAGTCAGGTTTCATCCTATTTAAATCCACATATAGAAAAATGACTGAGTAAAATAAGTAAGCCTAACCAAAAAGTCGACACGCCAAATGAAAGATCTTGACATACCAAATTACCAAGCCCAAGCATTGGTGGGCCGAACCACCAAGGCCTCGACGAGTCGTAGAGTCCCACGAGCCATGCCTCGGCAACCCCGAGCCTCGGTGGGCCAAGCCGCAAAGCCCGACGAGCCGTATAGCATGACAAGCCCATGCCTCAGCAAGCCCGGGGCTCGGTGACCCAAGCCACAAAGTCTGATAAGCCGTAGAGCCCGACGAATCCATGCCTTGGTAGGACGAATCTCAGAGTCCCGAGCTCGAAAAGCCGAACCAGCAAGACCTCGATGGGCTAGCCGTGAAGATTAATTATCGTGGGAAAAGCCAACACCATAATCCAAGCCTCTAAAGCAATGAACCAATGAAAGAAGTCTGCGATATTTCAGCCGACTTAGAAAAATCCGAGAAAAAAAGAAATCTGCGTTAAATTAATAAATCTTTCTTATCGTATTATAAATTCATTCTAACCGACTTAGATTGATATAAATATTCATGTATCTCTTTAGAGAAAGGGATGCACACTTTGTCCTAGCTAAACATTTGTTATTTTGAGAGCACTCGAGGAGCAAAAGGTGGACATGACCAGCAAGCAAGAGATGGGTTGGCTGCATAAATCATTCTTGACGAGGACAAACGCGAAGAAGGAGATCGCAATACGGAGCATTCTGCTGATGGAGAACTCGCCCTAGCGTTGACAGCATTACAAGCTAACGAAAGTGATGCTGATAGAGACGGAGCCATGAACCTATCAGAGGAAGAGGTGAATCACCTATGGGTTCAGCATGCGCAGTACAATGATTAGTCGAGAAGGTCGAGTCAAGCCTAGAGAGAAGAACGCGATGAAATCCGAGCCTCCCTGCATTGGGCCACTGACGAAGTAAGATATGTTCGTTCCCAAGTTCACAAGACAATAAGCAAAGCATCAAAAATCAACCACGTATTAGAAAAGGCACAATAAAACCATTTATGGCTTGGATCATGAAGACAAGGGTCTTTGACTCCAGGAAGATCATAGTTCCAGTCTATGAAGGGGCGAACGATTCGAAAGAACACATAACGAGGTTTCACATAACAATTGACGAGCCAACGTTAAAGAAGAAAAAAAGATGTCGATTTCTAAACGTTAAAGAAGAAAAAAAGATGTCGATTTCTACCTTATGTTCGTTGAACATCTCAAAAGTACCGCTCTCCAATGGTTTTCCAGAATCGAACATAACTCCATCATTGATTCCAGCAATGAATGCTACCTTTCGTAAAATTTATTCCATGTTCATGGATCAAAGCTCCTTTGATGCTGATCTATGGACCTTGACCCAAGGGAAGAGACATTGGAAGAGCACTTAACTATCAAGTAGAAGTTGGTCGAAGAAAAGCTTTGTGGAACACGTTGACAAGGAATTCGAGCTCTTACGATGAGAAAGCTTATTATGAATACCACCACGTGTACAAACACTCGAGCGTAAGCTGTCACAGCATGGGATTAAAGCTCACAGTAAAACAAGTGGCTGGGGAGCTCGGGGTTGCTGTCAGCCTTCAATACTTTGAGCAAAAGGGAGAAAAGAATCAGTCTAAGCAGAGAAACGAATATAATGATCGTCCAAGCTTGGAAGCAAAGCCGACGAGGCAAAGCATCCGACTCTCGAAGAAGAATATACGTGATTATGGGAGGTTCCCAATACTGCTCGGATATAGTATAGTCGGTCAAAGCATTTCTCTGAAGGACATATGTTATCAACTGGCTATAGCCCTCAAATCTGCCAAACGATATATTCTCGTTTGAAGAAAACGAAACCACTGGTATTGTCTGGCCTCATAAAGATACACTTGTTATCAAATTAATCGTGAACGATTGTAACGTCGCTAGAGTTCTAATAGATACATCTCAATGGACATTATATTCTGTGAA